TAACTCCTCAGTAGAGGAAAGAGGCGAAAAAGCCTTGGAAACCCTCTGAACAGAGAAGCCCCCAAGCAGTGGGCGCCTTGGATGACTTTGTCAGACGTGGGACAAGCCCAATCAGCGGATTCGACGTGCAACCGATTCCCGGCAAGAGCATAGGAAATCACCCTACGACGCTCCAGGCAACGCTATGTACACACGCAATTCCGCTTGTAAGCCGTTGTCTTGCAGAGTGAAAGTAATCGTGGTTGCAATGGTTGCAATAATCACGCGTCTCTAGCTTCTTTATCTCGCCGTTTCGAGTGACGAAAGTGGTATATTCTCTGCGAATGCGGACAACGATGCCAAATGCACGGAGGCATTTCGCAGACGACTTGATCGCGGGAACTGTCTTTAATGCATTCATTGGTAAGCTCAAAGGCACTCTTACCTCATCGGATTAGGTAGTCAACAACCCTTCTGATTCAAGGGAGAAAAGGAGAGTGCAAGCAGTCCCAGATAGGCCTGACCCCGCCCATGCGATGAGCACAGATTGCGCTTTTGAGCTCCCCCGCCGATGCAGAAAATGTGGAGCGGGCCGGCGTGCATTTAGCACCATGGAGGACGGTAACTGACTGATTTAGGGAAGAAAAGTGGTTAAAACGCCACAGGTGGCTCCTTCCCTGCCTCCTGGCACCGCCCCCACTGTTTGACGATATCTTCTGTGAGCGCTATCCTCAGCATTTCCAAAAAGAAACGCTGATTAATTTATTTCCTCTCATTCATTGGTCATCCCATGCAAATTATCAAAGTAACAAACGAGCCCATTAATTACCAACATTATAACAGTTGATTGAGCACATTAAACGGTCACTGAGCGGTCACGCCATTGAGCGTCAATCGATATATCATCTTTATGTACATAGCAAGGGATAATTTATACTGCCATGGCTCAAAAAACTTATGGGGATAAATATGCGATTTCTTCACCTGCCAACTGGTCGCAGTAGATATTTATGTGCCTTTTTCCTGGTGGTTTATAGGTCATTGGAAAGCGGCAGGATAAATGAATTTGAACGCGATTTTTTTCCAATCCTGATAAGAAGGTGAAGAGTGATTTCCGAGCTGTGTCCGAGCATTGGTAAACACTTGTTGACTGGTCTACGTGAACCCTAGCGTTTCAAAATTCTTTGTGAAAGGGGTGTGGGTACGCCAGTGGAGCTTGCCGGTCCAAAAGAGAACTATGGCGCTGTTTGTCGACGGGGGGGGCATTTTGTACTATCATTGCTTCCTCAGTTCCGGTTTACATGTCTCACTCTGGCGAAACCTGTGAACTCTTGTGAAGCTGGAACAAGGTAGTCAAGCCATCATGTTAAAACCTGTCAACTCGAGAAGAGGCTGTCTAGATAGGCCGACACGTCGATGGGAAGTAGCAAAAGTGCAAAATGCCCCCCCCCCGTCGACAAACTGCGCCGAGAACCATAGAGATGCCGACGGCCAAGCGCAAAATGAAATAAAATGTACAGTATTCGCGGTCGTCTTCAGCCATGGTTTCGTGCGGTGTACGTGTTACCGTTGCACCATAACCACCTGCCGGACAGAGTGTCTAAAACATTCCCGGATGCGCCCGCCAAAAAAAATTCACCCCCCTCCATTTGTGTTGAGTTTCTGGCGCTTATGGCGTTTTTTTGGGCAATGGCGCCTCAGAGATCACTGTGCTCTCACATGCTGGTTCTTTGGGGCTAATGCCGTTTGGACTCCAGAAATTTCGTCTTCGAGCTCATTTTCAAATTGCCTAAGTCACCAAATCCACTAAAAACTTGTATATAGGGGTAATTCAACATCTCCTGATTACGAGTGTCTGACTACTCGTTCTTGGCACTGGCGCCAAGAGAGGACAACTATGATTATCCTCCTGGGCTCAGCCATTAGCAGAGCGCAGGTAACTGTAGTGTCATCCATTAGCGCCAGCGCCAAAAATAAATGTCATATTCGTGATCAAAACGTCGAATTACCCCCTACAAATTTTAAGGCGATTCGGTGATATGCTACTTTTAAAATGAGCATCGCCGAAGACCGAAATTTGCTGGAGTCTCAAACGGCATTAGCCGTGATATTTGGCTAAGGTGGGACTTTCTTCTAGCGTGATGGAGGAGGCTGCGCAACGGGGCAGAGGCCACGGACACTGGGGACCATGGATGACAGGACTTTTTCCATTAGCATTTTCCGTAAAATCGCGATCGCAACCGCACGCGTATTAGGTCCACTAATAACTCGAAGTTTTTGATTCCCTGAGCCTCGTGAAACGCACTATTATTACTCATGCGTTAGTTTTGATTCCTATGAAAATAGTTGTGCTTGCAAAAACGACTGAGCTCAAAGAAAACTTACACTATTCGACAATCATCGATCAGTTCATTGAGAATTTTCATGTGCGCCGCCCCTTCCAAATGAATCAATTTTTGGATAAAAGGACACAAACACTGTACAATGTAGAGCATGCGTGTGTAATCTTACCCAGAGTTCATCACATTGTTTGGCCGCCTCCGAAGGATCGTCGATAATTTTAAGTTCTTGAATCGCTCCCTAAAAACCAAAGATATGAATTTTCGACAAACCTCTAAAGAGACGACTTCGATGGGCTCGATGGCAGGCAACTCTTGGAATGGTATTTCTTTGCTTTCCATCGTTACATCGTCTTGTGGCACAGTGAATTGGAAAAACACGCCACCGAGATCCTCTTCGGTGGTATCACGACGTTGCCGTGGCGGTGGCACAAGCGTTGGTAGCTGCTGCTGGCTTGGTCCGAACGTCTCGGTAGTGAGGATATCCTCATCAGCAGGCTGATCAGCCGCTACAGCGTACGGGTCAGTGCCTGCTGATGGAAGGATCAGGCCGTCGTCGACGAGGTACTGCTGCATAGGTTGGCAGATGGTGACACTGGTGGAGCCGAGAAGGAGGAAGACAGCGAACATGGCCAACATTCTGCAATACTGAGTAAGAGTAGGGTAAAGTTGAGGTGACGGTGAGCGAGGGATCTCCGAGACAACACGATTGAAAATAGGACGCAGTTCGGCTTGATGGGGGCGCCAAATAGTACTCAGCAAAGCCTAAGCAGGACACCATGCGGACACTTGCGAGTTTCTGTGACCGAAATGGCTCACCTGCTCCACTTGCACTGCTTTATAATGGCTTACAAGTCTCCGCAAAGTTATATGTGTAAATCAACATGAACTAGCAAAAGAAGCTACCTAAATTGCAAAATGCCCCTCCCAAGCCGAACAGTGCCGAAAATAGTGAGGGCTATAGCTCAGAATTACTGGATGGTTGGCTCATTCATTCTTCGCTATGGGCGTCCTACTACTAATCATTGTGAACCTGTGCGACTTTCAAATATCTGCTTACCAGTTAACGAAAGCCTTTGCCAAATGAGAATCGTTCATCAGCAGATTTCCCCACAACGAAAGGATCTATCGTATGAGCGATAGCTGGGATGGGGAGTGGCTACTACGACCACTAAAGATCGAATTCCTACCCTCATGGTCAGGTAAATGAGCCAGTGGAAGGTGGTAGGGCAGCAAGAGTTGTCACTTGCCACGAGTGCTAAGGGTGTCAAAGCCCGGATCGGATTCTACTCGGGCCAGTCATTTACTTCAC